TAATTTTTCTGAGTTTCACCTCCTTTAAATTTACATGCTCTTTCATATAATTTGGTGACAACCTTATGATTTTTTTTTAAAAATGATCTTTTTTCCATGATGTTTAAATATATATTAGACATTGGGGAATGTATAATGTTTTAGTCCTATTTAGTGCAGATTTCACTATATTATTAACCTTTTACCATGTAGATGAAATATTTGGAGCTATTTCAATGTCCATTCAAGCCAACAAAAGAAAGCATTATGAACAAAGAGTGTTGCTAATGAGACGGCTCAAATTAGCATTGGGAAGCAATGTACGGAATTTTTGAACTACAAAGACACAAATATCTTCATATTTTATGATGATGCCAAGTAACTTTATATGGGTGCCAAAAATGGTTATACATTTTAAGTTTGGATTTTTAAATCAAGTGAATATTGGCCAAGTATTATTACTCTAAAAATTGTTCTTCTGAGCATTGTAATACCATACATATTCAGTTAGACGTTATATAGGATTGCTTGGAGCTATTTTTTGTGCATGTGCTCTCTATTGGTGTGTATAAAATATTTACTTTAAAATGTTACTTAAAAATTTTAAAAACATTAAAAACAAGCCTTTTTTAATTGAATAGTTCTTAAATATAGAAAACTACTAAAAGAATAATTTTGAAAAGAATAATATTCTGGGAAATTCTGTTTCATAAGTGTGTAAATAGTCTTCGAACTTTTAAAATTTATCAAATAGTCCGTGTGGCCAAACATCCATAGAATAATTAGTCCCTATTTTAGAAAATTTGTAAAATGTACATAACACGTACGTTACAAAGATGTTAATTATGTAATAGTAAAAAAAGAAAATTTAAAGTTTCATTTGTGATGTGTAAATTTGAACCATAGTACAATATATTTCTTCTTTTAATTTAACTTTTACAACGAATTCTTTGTCTCTTTTTTAGTAATATTCTTGAATAGTAGTATAATGTCCTATGTGAGTTTGACATTATTTTATTTTTCAAGTAGTTTTATTCAAATATTAGATTGTGTGAGAAAAGAGCTACAAAAACGTCATTTATTACCTTTTACCACAAAGAAGAGGACACTTGCAGGTTTTGTCGAAATAACTCTCAGGTCCCTCTATTTTCAAGAAGATCACGGAGCTTCTTACATTTTGATGTAATGACCTGGAGGGGACATTTCACCCAATATTTCATCCATAAACGTAAATAAATGTATTTTTTTCCCGATATTTTTCTAAATCTTAGGTCACTCCTTTTTTTATTTCATTGTTTTTTTTGTTGCTCTTTTTTAAAGTGTTGTTTTAGAATTTCTTCTATAAAATCGGATAAAATTTCAAAATTGTTTGTATTATATTAAAATAAATGAAAAAAATATTTTCTAAAAAAGAAAAAACCGAGTAATGGCAAAATAGGAAAAAACAATAATGAAAAAATAGGAAAAAATACATTTATTAACACTTATGGATGAAATATTAGATAAAATATCCCCTCCCAGTCATTACAACAAAATATAAGAACCTCAGTTGTCTTCTTGAAAATAGAGGGGCCTGAGAGTTATTTCGACAAAACTCACGTCACCCGTAAGTAATTTTTTGCATTTTAATGAGATAAAATTCTTTTTTTTGTTACAAGCATCACATTTTAACACACTACGGTTATGTTCTATGTGCTTACACAAACATATATTTTTCTATTGAATGATATGATATATCGGTTATTCTAATATATTTTTAGATATTATTTATTTTAAAAAAGAATGATTTAAATATTTTATATTTATTTCAAATTGTAGAGTTAATATATTCCCGTGCAACCCAAGGGTGAAATACTAGTTATCTTTATCTCTATCTCTATCTAGACAAAGATTAGAGCCAAATTGGAACAGTAAAACTGGCCAATTGCAAACAGTGTTTTTGCCTAATTTAAAAAACAGTGCTCCGAAATTGTTGAAAGGAATGAAAGCGTAAGCCTAAGAGCAACCGCATTAGGCGGACTACTAAAGTGGAGGACTACTCCAATTCTCTCCTCCACATCATCTTTTTGGGACCTAATAAACAACTTCTCATTTACTTCTCCTTACTTTTGACATCAAAAGGACTACTAAAATATTATTTATAATATAATCCAAATAATTTTTGTATAATTAAATATTTATATTATACAAATATTTTTAAAAACTTGACAAAAAAAATTTATATTTTGTTAATTAATAAATTGATGTCATACTTTTTCAAAAAAATTTAAATTACGTTCTTCTCCTTCAAAATCCATTTACTCCTCCTTCAAATGCGGGTGCTCTAACGCTGGTCGCTATTTTTGTTTAGGGTTTTTGTATTCATCCTTTTAGATGTTTGCTCTTCAACAGAGACGAAACCGCTGCTCTCCGCTTCTACTAGAGTCCGTCGTTGGTTCTTCGAGATCTAATATTTCATCCTTTCCGAGCTTTGGGAGTACGCTACACAGATCTGTTTACCTAGGGTTTCTCTTCAACGCTCGATGTCCCCTACTTTACCACTTTAGTTTTTACCTACCTTTTAAGACCTTATCCAAATAATGTTTCTATTTACCCCTAGACTTATGTTTTCATTTATTTTTATATTTTGATATGAACGTTAATAAAAATATTGTTATCGTTATTATTAAGATTATGGCTATGATTATTATTATTACTATAATTATTATTATTATTACCATTTTTAATTTCTTATTACTAGTCTTATTCTATTTTAGTCAATATCATTCATGTTTCCTAGTATGATTATGATAGGTGTTTTTTTAAGGTGTTGCCCATTTATACTTACACAATGATTAATGAAATGATGAATGGTTGAAGTCAAATATTCCCTCCGTTTCTTATAGATCTTTCCATTAACCCTTTTTATTTGTCCGCCATAAATTTTCTCGTTACATATTTTAACACACAAAATACCTTAAACACCCCTCCTCCATTTCTTTCTTTTTTTTCCCAATTTCGTCCGCCACTTCTTATTTATTTCTTTTTTCTTTCTTCATTTCTTTCTCTCCAATTTCGTCCGCTGGTCTGTCAGATTTCTCCTTCTCTATTCCCTTTCTTCTTCTTCTTGTCTTCTTTTCTTTGTTTTTCTTCTCTTTCTCGTTTCTTCTCTTTCTTCTTCTTCTCCTCCGTATTCTTCTTCTTCTGCGCCGCCTAGATCTGCGATGGTGAGGGTAAGGGCAGTGGAGGAGATGGCGGGGCTGAGGACGGTGGTGACGATGGGGGAATGAAGATGGCGGCGACGATGGTGGGGATGATGGCGGCGGCGACGGTGAGTCTAGATCTATTAGAATCATTACAGGAAATATATTCTGTGAAATTGCCTGGAAATCCAAAGCTTGGTGAAGGGAAACCTGAAAATCAAAATCATGCTATTATATTTACACGTGGAAATGCAATACAGACCATTGATATGAATCAGGTGACTAATATTTTTTATATTGATATTGACCTTAATGTTATTTACAGGGCAAATTGATAGTATATATTTTTTATTTATTTCTCTTTGTATGTGGACAGGATAATCACTTTGAGGAGGCTTTGAAGGTCTGAAATCTTCTTGAAGACTTTTACTGTGACCATGGAGTTCGCCCCCCTACTATTCTTGATGTTAGGGAGCATGTGTTTACTGGAAGGTATGGTATTAGAGGTATTTTGTCCCTTACAGAGTTCATTTATTTAGGCTTCTGACTCTTTAAACTTGTGCATCTTCTCAGTGTTTCTTCTTTAGCATCTTTCATGTCCTTTGAAGTGAGTTCACGTTAATCGTGAATATCTGTTGTTCCATGGCATTTACAGAGTAATCATGAAACTATGAAAGAAAAGTCTGTCTAACTTGTATTTGAAATGATCATCAGGGTTCGTATGCATTATGGTCATCCAGATGTCTTTGATAGACTATTCCATATAACTAGGGGTGGTATCAGCAAAGCATCATAAATATTAGTGAAGATATTTTTTCTGGTAAATTTACTTCACATTTAAGGGGATTTTGTTTCATAATTTAATGTTATTGTGTTTAATTTTAATCTTATGGGTGTAGAGTTTGGGAAATATACTATATTAACTGCGTGTTAATCCTTACTTAATGTTCTATATTTATATGCATGGCCTATAGTTAACATTTGTTGAGTTTATTTAAAACATTCCTAGTCAAATTGGAGCATATAAGTTACAGTTTACAAGTTACATAGACAATGTTTGCTACCAAAAACACCATTTCGTATGTCTCAGAAAGACTTAAAACCCTGGATATCTCTTCCAATTAATCTACCGATTTTATGAAGAATGATGCACCTAGGCATAATCTATTACATATTTACATGGTGAGAAAAGATAATTATTCTTTCAACTTTAGATTTGTCCTTTCCATGACATACAAGATGCTACTACCTAAGTTATCAGACGACAGACAAGCTGGAAATTTACAGCTTGGGTTGCCTTCCTCAAACTCTGGCCTCTGCTCTTGCTACTACGACGGCACATGGAATTCCTTGTGGTGCTTGGAGGAATTCCTAGCATTGAGATGCTGCGGCCTGTCCAATCCGGAACCCATACGTTGGAGTATATTTTCCCATGGAGTAGATCTTCTAAAACTATTAAGTTGAAAGAAAGAGATAAAAAATGAAGGGAGAAAAAGAATAATGGAAAAAGAAGATGGCATGTACAAATCTGATGGAAGAAGAAGAATCGACAGGGAAGAATGAAGAAAGAATGAAAATGTGATGGCTGTCAGCGGATAAATCTAGAGTTAGAGTGGAGTAATGAGGGAAAAGAATGAAAAAGGGTAAATAAGGTATTTTACACAATGTTTTGCCCAATAAGGAAATGGAAAGAAAACTTTAAAATGGTCCAAAAAGGAATGTGAGGAAAATTTCTGGACAGAGGGAGTTATAATTAATGAAACCCTAGACTCATAACATCCATGTACCTATAATAATCCTCAACAATTGTGGCAATGTATTATAAGCATGAAGTGGATTCGACACAAGTTCATAGTGGATCAAATCAGCTTATGCGCGTAGGTTTGTAATGTAACGACGATTGTAATACCTTTTCTTTATATAAACTAAAATGCAGGATTCAATTCAACTTTGTGCCCGGGCAATGTTACTCACCACGAATACCTCCAGGTTACTAGACTCTCTCTCGCTGGTATGTTTAGGTCGTATTTCATGATACTTATCAGCTAATGATATCACTAATGATGTTGTATAGGTTGGCAAGGGACGTGATGTTGGACTCAATCAGATTGCTTTGTTTGAGGGGAAAGTTGCAGGTGGTAACGGGGAACAAGTCCTTAGTAGAGATGTCTACAGGCTTGGTCAGCTTTTTGATTTCTTCAGAATGCTATCGTTCTACTTCACAACTGTGGGATACTACTTTTGTACCATGGTACACATTTCTTTCCAATGGAATACATGTAGGGAGCGGCTAAATACACCCCATTACTTTCTAAATACACCCAACTCCTGCTCAAACTCGCAGAACACAACGCAGGCACTTGACCAACACTAGCTTAGCATCTGTTTGGCGAGTGTTCTTTGGACACTCATTGACTTCCAACTTCAGTGATTACCAGAACACTCATCATTGTGTGAGGCTGTTAGCAGAGTGTTGGTCGTGCAGTACTTCTTCAGCAAACACTAGTGTTTTCAGACACTCTTAAATGTGCTAAATCAATTTTGCTAGATTGATTTTTTTTCCTTCAAAATTAGGTGTATCTATTAAACTAGTGGTGCAAATTGCCGCATCCTTACTTTTATTAGATGTCATTTACAAGTATTGCTATTGCTTGTTTTGGTCGTCTATATACTTGAACATGTAAATGGCTATTTGCCTCATGTATCTAATGGCTCGCTATCATTTGTTTATGTAGTTAACAGTGCTCAGTGCCTACAGTTTTTTCTATGGGAGAGCCTATTTGGTATGTTCTGATACATAACTACATTTTTTTATATCACGAAGTCATGGTTATTAAGGCGTCGCCTAATCGACGCTTAGGCAGTAAGGCGGTCTGCCATGGATGCCTTAATGGATGAATCCCATCTGATGTACTGTAATTGTTAAATTTTACAAGCTATATTCCTGATGGATGCACCTGAATTTCTTGTCTCAGGCGTAATCTGGGGTTGGTGAAACGATTCAAGAAAGAGCAGATATATTTGATAATGCTGCACTAAATGCTGCTCTCAATGCACAGTTTCTTTTTCAAATTGGTTATTTAGTGCAGTGCCAATGATTTTGGGTTTCATCTTGGAACAAGGATTCCTGAGAGTATGTTATTCATCTCTTGATTTTCAGCTTTTCTGTTTATTAAGCTTCTCTCATGTGATATTTTATTTTGTTCTCTTAGTAACTGCTGCAATTTTTTTCCCTTTTTTGTGGCGATGCAATGGAAAAACAGCTTATGTAAATCAAACCAATGATATGTACCTGTTTCTGGGGTATGCTGCTACTCTAAGAATGTGCTTCACAGAGCCTTCCGTCTTTTCTTATTTAACTCTAAATATGAATTGCTTCTTCGGGTATGTCTAGGAAACAACATCTATTTTGATTTTCTTATTGATACCAACATATTTCAGTACTATTCTGACCCGGACAACCTGTTTTGGATAAAGAAAAAACATTTTGTTAGTGTACGTATATGTGCTTCATGTCTGTGTGCCTTTGTTTATGATATTTTGTTTATTTTGTCTGTATTCCTGTATTTGAGGCAAGGTGCCTTGTTTCTCTACTTTCGTGAAGGGACGGGTTGGAATGGGCCACACGGGATTCAGATTCCACTAAACGACCTCTATTTCCCATGCTAAACCCCACTAACAATGGTTGGTCTTGATTCTCCACGCGGCTTAATGTCAGATATTCATTCTTTTAATACTTATTTATATTTTGTGGGATTTGGAATAGGTAAATGCACTGCTGCTGATTCTTTTAAGCATGGTGGTCCAAATTTTGCCCTTCGGTAATGTCGAACTTGGTATGAGTAGTTTTGTGTTTATTAAGCTCTCTCATGTGATATTTGATTTTGTCCTCTTAGTGCCTACTACAAGTTTTTTTGGTGGCGAGGCACTAGAAAAAAAGCTTATGTAAATGAATTAGAGCACTTATAGCTATCTCATCTCTTTATTCATTCTTCCGTCGCGATCTGATCTGTTTATTGATTGTTCCAGTGCTGATCTGGTCTCTTGATTAATTGTTCCTGTCCTGCCTACCCCTCCTCCCACAAATCCCTCGTGGCCGGCCCAGGCGCGAGGCATCCTGCGACCCCTCCAATTTCATTACACAAATTACATTCGACCAATTTTTAGTACCAATTTTTTAGTACCAATTTTAGAGCCGTCTACTTCTCTGTGTCTGTTGCTCTCGCTGGTCTTTTAGGAACTGTCAGGGCCAGGGAGGCCCTTTGAGTGATTTTGACAACCAAAGGATAGTTGTGATAGTAGTATGAAGGTATACCATCCGTCTATACTTTTGCAAATCAAAACAATACAATCTCCTTGTTCTTCCGAGGAAACATTGCATTCTTTTTTGAACTCGATAAAGATTTTCTGATTTTGTATCAGCCATCATAATGCGCACTGTGAATTCGTAAGCTTATGTACTGCAATTTTGTCTATTGGTGTATAACTGTTTGGATAAGTAAAGTAGTAACTATTGGCATCCTGGATTTAACACAACATAATTATTTGGTGCAGATATTTTGCATTTTGCTTGCTGTTTTGGCAATGCCATTTGGGCGCCATCCCCATCCTATCAACCTGTTTTGGATAAATAAAAAACATTTTGATATTATGATGTACAATTGTTTCGTTAGACATGTGAAAATAGCAAGGACGCTATATCATTGCATTCAGTGGGAGTAGTTGCTTTCTTATATTTGATTTTGATTAAATTGATTATTAAATGATACTGTTCAATTGATAGGAACTAGAGAGGAACAAAGTTGATGCTGCTAAGTTTGCTCCTTTTTGGAATGAGATTATAAGGAATTTGAGGGAAGAAGACTACATTAATAGTTTGTGAGTTTTACTTGTGGCCATGGCATTTTCTGTTATCAGATCTTATTCATTGACTGCTCACTAAAGCTCACTAGACACACATTCATCTTCTTTAATATACAGGGAAATGGAGTTGCTTTTAATG